ATATTGTTAATTCAACTAATGCTGTAGAGAGAGCCACTAAAGAGGAGTGTGACATTTGTTCAGAGTAGGTGACATTATCCTTGTAGGAACAAATAAACGTTGGCTGCCCAGGCAGGATAGATGCCATAGGTGATCTTCAATAGGTCACAAGAAGAGATTGAGGGTGTTTATGCCTTCACCTTTCATCTCATTGAGAGGAACAACCTAAAATGCAGTTACAATAAACATTCAGTTTTCAAATGCTTCTTGGGCAGAAGAGGATTATTTTTAACTACATCTTGAAGATAAACATACTTTACATAAGTTGAAAGAAGTAGTTTAGGGTCTAAACAAAATTTTACACTGGGAAATACTCAAAAGTGTATTATGTATATTATGTGTATTATGTATTATGTATATTATGTCAATACTTGGGCAGAAGTTTATCCTTACACACACACACACACACACACACACACACACACACACACACCCCTTCTGAAGGACTGAATGAATCTTAGGACAAAGAATATGAACTTTATAATCTAGGTACTGTGAAATGAATTATGATGCACATTTTTTAAAGCAATAGTTGCAAACAAGGTATAGGGATTGGCTTATCTACAAAGGCTGTCCTCAGAGCTCAGATGGACCGTTGAGGGGAAGTCTCTGTGGGAAACTTCAAGGAGATATAGATGAAGCCTGTGGACCAAACCTTCAGGATTTGAAAATCCCCTGTTGATATATTGCTGGGGATCTTTGGCTGCTGTTCTATGCAGCCTCAGCTGTACCCCATGTTATATCAGCACCAGGATGGAACAGGTTTTTGCTAAAATGCACCAAGGGTCGGGTGCTGTACCTCTTCTCTGCCCACCTTGTATTGTTATTGTGCTGCATACCCAGGCCATTCTTAATGCCAATGATAGTTTGAGGAGGATTCTTAAATTTTTAAAGTTTATGACTACTAACTAGCAGGTCACAGATTCAAAATATTTTTAGTTTTCATGTGCTATTTTAATCTTCTTTTTAAAATGAAAAGATGTCTGTCTCAATTTTCATTCTCTTGCTGGTGGTGTTTAGAGCATTTATGTACCAATCGCAAATATGGCCTTAGGCAGAATTTCTCATAAAATGTCCTCCCTGTCCCCCAGCCCTAACACATTTGGTCAGCTATGTGTAAGATACTGTCTAATACTCATCCCATTAACAGTCAGTGCCTATTTTCTTTTAAGAACTCTTAACTTTTTCTGCCTATGGAAACTTAACCTTGGATTAACATAAGGTTCCCCAGAGTTAGTTTCTAAGAAATGGTACTTGCATTTGGATGATTTAAAGATTTATACTGATAGACTTGTGGTCTACAGTATTTATTTTCCTAGAGTGGTCTATGAAAAACCAGCTCCAACAACTTGTAGGGCATGGAATCAGACACCAGATTAAGCATATGAGTGTTAGATTTCTTCACAATGTCATTTATGTCTTTCTATTCAAAAAAATCCACACAGATGTCTCTATCACATAGACAGTGAGATCTTCCTGGAAAATACAATGCTAAACAATAACTAAATTCCTAAGATGTATGCATTCTTTTCTAAAAGTTCTATACTTTTATATTTCCAATAAAATTCATGACCTGTTCTGACTTAGTTTTTATAACAAAATTAAATTCAAGATGAGGTTTATTTTATTAGCTAGATAGTCCAATTTTTCTAGCATAATTTTTTATTGGAAGTCTGTTCTTCAATTGATGTCCTTTTGTACTATTACATATGGATTTTAGAATTAGTTTGTCTATGTATACAATGCATTAAAAAAAACCTTGCTGGGATTTTGAAAGGAATCCCGTTTTATATGAATATATGGAGATTTGCAATTGAATTAAGCTTCAAAATCCATGAGTATGGTATCTCTCTCTGTTTACAAAGGCTTATGCATTTTTCTTTTTTATTTACTTCTTATTTTAGTAAGTAAATACACTATATGTTTTGTTATGATGTGCATTTTTTAATTTTTTGGAATGAATGTAAGTGCAGTTTTAAATGTTGACTTTTGCAGTTATTTTTAGTACATAGATGATGTATCCTGTGTTTTATTTAATTGGACAATATAAAATTATTTTTTTCATGTTCCTTCTGATCTTTTATTTTGACAATCATTACATCAAATAAGAGTACAGTTATTACATCCTTTCCAAAGTGTATATTTTTCCTTCATTATTTCTGTGGGCATACGTTTTAATACTTCATTGAGTAGAAGTGATGAGAATGGAAGTCCCTGTCATACTTCTTAGGTTAAGGTTAAGGGGAAAGTATTTAGTCTTTTAATGCTACACATGGTTCTAGCTCGAGTTCTTTATCGGGCTGGCTTGTTCTCTGTTGGGTTGGATGGTTGGTTCTGACTTATTTCTGGCTCCAGAATAATGATAATGTTCACAGGAATTGGAGATGAGGGAAAGAAAAAAAGCTGAGAGTTTCTATCAATAAATCCTGGAACTACATATTATTTATTTTGATTCTTATAAAGTGCTTTTCTCTGCTACAATTCTTGTCAAAATAGAACCACCTACAGCTTGATTTGCATTTGAGTTGCACATACACTCTGCTAGTTGGTATTTTGGTGATTTGAAACTTTTAAAACTTTATTTTTCTTTCATAGATCCTAATAGTCCAACAAAAGGAGGCTATTTTTCTTTTCTATACCTTAAAAATGACATGTATTTTCTATGGATTAATTGTTTTGTTCTGTCTGAAGAAAAGAAAAATATATAGAAGAACTTTGAAACTCAACAGTAAAAATATCCATGACACACACAACATACTACCCACACAACGCACAAGCCATGCAGAGACCATACACAAAACATACATGACACATATGTCACACTCAACACATTTATAAATCATATCACATACCTCATGTCACACTCATGCTACTCACAGCCAAACATGTTACACACATGTGACCCCAAACCCACACATACGTCAATACATAGCACATACCATAAATGCATGCCACATATGTCACATAGCTGTGACACAAATGTCCCATATACCACATACAAGTCAAATAGGTGACATACACATCCCACATATGCGCCACATGCAGGTATGTATAGTGAATGTGCCACATGTATGCTGCATACATTTCAAACATGCCACATACATGGCACAGATAACATGTACATGTCACAGGCAGCACATTCATGACACACATGGAACATGCAGTTCACACAAGTTACATACACATCATAAATGCAACACATTCAGTGCACGCATGACACAAATTTCACAAACTTGCAACATGGTTGTCACACATTTCACAGATGGAACACAGGTGTCATGCACATGCTACACATGTGACACATACATGGCATGCACATGGCACATAAATGGCACATACTTCACCCTCATGTCTCATTTATGTCACACATGACAAATATATAGCACACTGCACACATGAAGCACATGTCATGAATAAAATATACATGGAGCATGAATGACCCATGTGTGTCACACACAGCACATGTATGCGGCATGTATGTTTGTACATGCTATGAATGTTGTATCCACCTTGTATATATGTAACATGTGTCACACTCCCACATATGGCACTCATGTCACATGCAAGCCATGGTGTAGGCATAATACATGACACACATAGAGCATGTATGCATACCTTTCACATGAATGTCACATGTATTTCACTTTATGTGACTTGCATGCAATGCACTTGACACATAAATGTCATGTGCATTTATGTGTCACCATGTAAATCATGTTTTTACACATTTGTGTGTGTCACCCATATGTAACATATATGACACAGACATTATTCATAGGTCACATACATATTATACATGTCAAGTGCTATCATACATGATTCTAAAATATGACACATACGGCATACTCATCTCACATGTCATCTGCCACATTAAACCCTATCCATGTCATGAACATCATGCATGATTCTAGCATTCATGTAATTCTTATGTCACTTACATACTACATACATCCCATATTCCACACGTGTTGCACACATGTATGTGTGCATGCCTAGGGTGCCTACATGATCATGTATGTCACTGCATATCATACTTGTTTCACATGTGTATTATGTGCATGTCACATGCATGCTGTATGCATGTCTCACACATATCTTCCTTTTCCTCTATGGAATTAGGTTTTTCTATGCATGTAGACAATGCAATTTTCTCTCTGTTGTAATTTTAGCTGAAATATATGAACCAATATTCGCTATCTTAAATTGTTATGGGAAGAAATTAAATGTCTAAAATAACCATTGGTTAATAAAAATAGTATTTTCCATTGACTACTATTTCTTAGAAATGTATTAAATGTTGATAAAATACTTCCTGGGTGATAATAAAATAATTGCCTTTTATAGCCATAAATAGGAATTTGTGGTTTCAGTTATTGTTAACCCTTTGAATTCTGCTTAGTTGTTAATTTCCAGTGAGACATATGTTCTTCAGGACATGAGACAAATACAGCCTGAAACTAGAAAGTGTGTATTTTAAAATATTTCTATGAATAATACTAATTTTATGTAGAACAAATTTACTTTAGTGTGTCATAATCAAATATTTTAGGGGAAACTTTTTGAATAATTGGTCTTTTTTTACTATGTGAAATTGGTGAATCAATGGAGTTGATGTGGAAATATTTAGGTAGAATTGTTTCAGTTTATTTTGTTTCCTTCTCCAAATCTTATTGTCTGGTTAATTCTATTCATTGTGATTACTTTATCTTTTTGGAAAATTCATTTCGTTTTGACCCTTTATCACCAACAAGGGGTCCATGGATCTCTATTTAAATTGATATGGATGATATTCTAGCAGCCTGAATAAGGAAATCAAGTCCTGTTTTTCCTTCTGTAAGCAACTATTCTTCTCTTCACTTTCCTGGGAAGAGGTTTAAGAATTGTTTTTTGAAGGAAGTAAATAATTTTGTATGTAATTTTCCTCTGTGATACTCAGGGTTTTTGTTTTGTTTTTAAATTAGATCTTGAAAATTTTAAAACCAGAATGAGGAGTACTGTGTCAGTACGTGAAGGCCAGGGCATGGTCCTGCTCTGCGGTCCCCCGCCACATTCTGGTGGTAAGTACTGCCCCGTTTCTGCTATTGATACTTCTTAAATATGTTTTGGGACAAAGCCTGAGCCAGACACTCTGTGACTGCTTCTGTAAAGTAAAAGAACTCAAATCACCTGAGCATTCGATTCTGTCAGCTGATGTGAAAAAGGAGAAACTCACAAAGCTAGTCCATCTAGAGAAATTGTCGTGTATATATTCTAACCAGGGAGGTTTCAAAGAGTCACAGAGATCCCATTCATTTTGCTCATTTACTAATGCTGAACATGTGTTCTTACCCCATCATTCTCTGCTCCTCAGTTTTAGATTTTGAAAGTTCAAATTGAGAGCTCTCTCTTCTCTCCTCTCCCTCTCCTCTTTCTCTGCCTCTGCCCCACCCCAATTTCTAGATAGCCTATGTATATGAAAAAGATAAAGGTATATAGTCACATCACTGTCATTAGACTATTGCAATTGCAAATTTTATGCTAATTCGCACATACTAAAATATACTAAAGTATTCTGGCATAAATTGAAGTCAGAAACTTGATAAAATAACCTCAGAGAGTAGAAATGAAATAATTAGCTCCTCAATAAAAAGCCTTGGAGTGCTGGTTTAATTTTTTCCCCCTCTATGCTCACTCTTGTGACCTTGGCAATTTATGGTCAAAATGGTCTTACTAATATACAAAATATATTCTCAGACAAATAAACATGGTCTGCCATCAAAAGGATAAGAGTCACTGAGAGGTAAATGAGTTAGAGAGGACCTATCTTCACAGAGACGATCTAAAGGAATCATTGTGAAGCTTAATTCAGATGGAAATACTCTGGTCTTCCTATGTTCTGTGACTCATAAACAGTCCTCTTCTACTCTCAATGATTGGTCACTTTTAATTACATACCCTCAAATCTAATAACCCAGACATCTCCTTTCTTTTTGTAGATGGCCATGTGAATGTGTGCCTGAGGTCAGGGGCTGGTTTAACCTTTTTGCCTGCAGGGATTTAAATGAGGCTCCCTTGTCTATTTTAAAAGAGTACATTTTGCTTGATTCTTGAGTTTAGAGAAGTTCTTGCTTTGTACCTAAGGACAAAGTAACCTTAATTACAAATAAAAGTAATTGAGTTCATTCTGGCTTGAAGAAAATAGAAAATTTAACAGGCTGAAATAACGGAGCTAACTAGTATCTTCTGGAAGAGTTGTATGGTTTACAGAGTTGCGCCTCCAGAAAGGGCCTGACACCTTGCATTGTGGTATGGGGTCAGTGGGTGGCCTGCAGCTCTGTTATACAATGCTACTTGTTGACTGGTTATCTATTGACAGTGTAAAATGGGGTATATTCAGCCCTTTCCGACCAATACTGGCTAGTACTGATTATTAGAATCAATTCAGAGCTTGCTGTATGGATGACCAAGAATTGGTTCAACCACACCACAGTGAATGATGCTTCCTTTTACTGGTTTTTGATATAAAAACAGAAAAAGCAAAACATTGTGTCACAAACTCCTTGAACTATTCCTTGAGAACCAAATGTGCTTCATTTAAGAGATTATCCAATTCCTTGATTCAGTGGTCTTTTCTGTATTTCTTGACTTTTCTTCCTTTATTTTTGACTGTTTTCTCACATCAATTTTTCCTTGTGGTGGCCAAGGTAGACCCTAAAAACTCTTAGGATCCTTAATGTTAAAGATTGTACTGGAGCTGGGTACCAGTGGCTCACGCCTATAATCCTAGCTACTCAGGAGGCTGAGATCTGAAGACCATGGTTCAAAGCCAGCCCAGGCAGGAAGGGCCATGAAACTCTTATCTCCAATAAACCATCAGAAAACAAGAAGTGGCACTGTGGGTTAATGATAGAGTGCTTGCTTTGAGCTGAGGAGCTGAGGGACAGCACTCAGGCCCAGAGTTCAAGACCCATAACCAACAACAACAAAAACAAGATTGTAATTGACCAGACACCTTCACAGAGGCCTGTAATTAGATCCTTGTTTAGGGGATTATCCATAAAATGAAAGAAGAGAGTCAGCTCCGTCAACCCATAAGCATGTAAGCAAGGAAAAGAAAATAAGAATTTACAATGAGAGAGAGAGAGAAAAAAAGAAGGTGATCCATTAGGTAGAATAATAGCTACAACTACTCCAAGTAAGGAATTATCAAACTAACTTCAACTTATATTGCTTCAAATCAACAGAAAATAATTGCTTCAAATCACTACAGAATTTCAGAAATGTTGACCGAAGTTGAGATTCTGACTGAGCTATCCTTCATTACTTTTATAATTAGGTAAATTCATTAATAACAAAAGAACCTGCTGGCCCCTAGAGACATGTTCCTGTAATCCTGGCTACTCAGGAGGCTGAGATGTGAGGATCATGTTTTGAAGCTAACCATGAGCAGGAAAGTCTATAAGACTGTTATTTCCAATTAACTACCAAAAATCCAGAAGTGGAGGTATGGTTCAAGTGGCAGAATGTTACCCTTGAGCTTTGAAAAGACACAGGGCCCATGTTCAGGCTCTGAGTTCAAGGCCTAGAACTGGCACAAAAAAAAAGATGAATAATCTATTGGTTTACTAATTCACAGTGAATATGTCTTATGAAGCTATTGAATGAAACATGTTTCAAAAGAAGAGTCTTTTTTGTCATAAGAATTGAGTAACCTTGGCCAGTCACAGCTATCCTAAGTCATTATACCTTGATTTATCTCAGCCTTTGGAGTTCTGTCTTTACTTTTAAAGCACATGGATGAGATGATTGTGAATGTCTGCTGAGATTGTAGCTAAAGCAAAAATGAAACTTCTATCCTTCAGAATGTAAAAGTTTCAAGAGATACTAAATCACATGGAGAAAATGTATATTTCCCTCACTGCAAGCATGTCAAGAAATGACCAGGACAATCAGGTCAGGTTTAGATGTGAAAAACATTTGTGCATACGGGTGCACATCTACCTAATTCCGAGATCCTCACAATTGTCATCTGAGAGCCTGACAGACTAGTTCATGAACCCCTAGGGCAGAGGCCTGTGTTCTGAGTTTAAGTGTGTTGCACAAAGCTGACTCATAATAGGCACTCAACAGGCATCTAGTCAACAGACATTGAAGTAAATAACTGAATGCTTTTCTAGATTTTGACAGTTACAAATATTTGAAAATCCATCCAATACTTTATTCTCAAGGTATAAGCATCCAAATCCTCTGGAGTGACAGACCTACCCATGTGAACTTTCTAGCAGCTACAATCAAGCCTGCTTCATCCCATTAAGAATGACTTGGAGACTTCATTTCAGTAAAGGATGGAGTCCCATTTTGAGCCAGGTCCTAGCAGCTGAAGCTGTGATTTCAGGGTATTTTTTTCTTTCCCTGCCAAAGATGAAAGGTCTTTCAGAGTACACATGCCCCTTGCTGGTGTCTATTCAGTCATCCTTTCTCAAAGTTCCACAGACCCTTCCAGACCTGCACTAAGCCTTCGTTGTTTACACCTGCCTACATTGTCTTCATTCACTGCAGCTTGCTTTATTTCTACTGAGTTCCTTTCCGGTGGTTGGAGATGTTTTTCTGATTTCTGATATCAGAGTCATCTTTTATTCACCTGTCTTATTCTCTCTTATAGGAGCCTAACAAGAGTAAGTATAGAAGGGGAATGGTAATGATGATGATGATAATAATAATAATAGCAGCAACAGCAATGATGATAGTGGTGATAATCTCGCTCTAATGACTGCTGCTTAGATACTGAGCAGAATGCTTGTCTTTTGTGTTCATTACCTGCTAGTCAGAGCTTTTTGGTTAAAGAACAGAGAGGAACAGGATGGTTGGCAGCCTAAGTAGAGCCGGAAAGCTCAGTTCTGGAAATGCCAAGAGAGTGAGCTTCCACCCAGTTCACGTTGGAATACCTGGTGCTCTAACTTCTGGTTTGAAAGTAACTCATGAGACAAGAGCCTAGATACCTAGTCTCAGCACAAAGCTCTCCCAACTTGTGCGTAAGGCAATAAATTGGGTCATTTGCACATGGGTCTCATAGAAGAAGTAGCCTGCAAAAGATCCCAGAGCTGTGGAGAAGTCAAACTAGAACCTTGATGCTTCCTCCTGACCAGGAATTTTTCTATGTGATGGATGCTCCAAGTCAGCCCCATAGCCATTCTCCAAATGATAAGACACAGAGTCCTCAGGAAAAGCAGTGCTGTTCTAAGCCAAGGGCTTCTGACATTTCAAAACCAGAGTCAGCAGAGTTCATTAATCTTTAGGCCCATTGTTTACAGAAGCATTTGATACACAGTGGTACCTAGAGCCACTTTAGGGATGTCTCCTCCCACATTGAACCAAAGCCTTGGCTCAGACATGGTCTTTCCCAATACTCCTTAGACTTCAATTCCAAATGAATCAACTGGGTGGAGTCTGAGACTGTGTTTTTCTAATTGGCTGTCCTGGAAAGTGGGTGCTGCTGGTCTATGGGCCACTATGGGTAGAAAGTCCCTCACTGGTCTGTTCCATTTTGTGAAGTCCCTAATGTATTCCTGTTAACCTCTCTGCTCTACTAACCTTTCTTCTTCTCTAGCTTTCTTCTCCATCATGGTGCTAGAAGGCATTTAACACATCAAAGCTAAAATATTGTGTCTCAAATGAGGACATCATCCTTGCTCCCCCCCACCCCCACCAAGCCTGAAGCATCTTTCTCAAGATACTCTTCACCTTGATTTATTTCCTTGTTTGGAAACCTTCCAAGGTCTCCAATTGATTTGTATATTTTTTATTGTCTCGCAAAATGCTTGTCTTTCTTTCTAAGTCCTAGGGCTAAAGTGGCACAGCTGCCCTTTTAATTCAAGTCCCAGAGTCTGAAACATACTTTAATCCACAATTTCACCTCTCCCAGATGTGACATGAAAGCATGTACAGACGCTAACTAAAGTTTAGTTTAGGTTTAAAAGTCCATAGAAAAGTCTCACTGAAAACAAAATTTCTGATATTAAGAGTAAATGGCATGACACCAATGGGTATTGCTGGGCCTCACTGTCAGCTTGGTGTTCTA